GGCGGGATCTCGTAGACGACACACAGGGAGGAGTAGAGGCAGCCCAGGAAGGACACCAGGCTGGAGAAGTACATCACCCCGTTGGCGCTGCCCACAGCCGAGGTCAGGGGCCCCAGCACCAGCGAGACCAGGATCTGGGCCAGGAAGTACTGGCAGCTGAGCAGCGAGATGTCCACGCCCATGCCACGCCGCGTGCCGTCGTGACTTACATAGATGATCCGGAAGTGTCTGCAGGCCCAGTCATCCTGCTCTTCCTCCGAGATCATCTCCACGGTGATGTCTCCGTAAGTGATGGGCTCTTCCGTGAACGGCCAGTACTGGTCACATTTCACTGGGGGGGGCGGGGCACACCAGTGGCGGGGCCAGGGACCCACGTCCCTGCAGGCCCAGCAGCCCCATGCCCACGCACAGCGGGCTCACATTTTCCAGCGCCAACGTGCACAGGGAGTTCAGCCAAGAGTTTAATAATATTTGTGTTCAGAGAGATGACGGCAATGAAAAGAATCCACGGCTAATGGGGCGGGAGGGCCGCCTCCTCACAGGGAGGGTGGCACTTTCCCCGCCGGACTCTCTGGTCCTTTCTCCTCCCTCTCACCCCAGAGGAAGCAGCCTGCCTGCCCACTGGGCGCCGTGTCTGGACAAACTGCTGTCCGCTGCCATGCCTCTCGCACACCCTGTCACAGCCCACAGCAGGGGGCCTTTGGGCGGGTTCCTGAGGCTCTTGTGCCTCCAGACTGGTCACATCATCTCCCTCCCCACCCACCGCACCACGTGGGCATGTGGTGGGCATGGTGATGGGCACAGTGGTGGGCATGGTGGGCCTGTTGTGAGCATGGTGATGGGCATGTGGTGGCATGGAGGTAGGCACTGTGGTGGGCATGTGATGGGCATGGTGATGGGCATGGGCATGGAGGTAGGCACAGTGATGGGCATGGAGGTGAGCATGGTGATGGGTATGGTGGTGGGCATGGTGATGGGCAAGGTGGTGGGCATAGTGATGGGCATGGCGGTGG